GATTGGAGAATTTTATACGATTAATCGTGATTATTCTTAATCGATACCTATTGAATTTACCAACCTTTGTAAAACAGATCACCCGCTTATTATCGTAAAACGGTTTGTCAAAAAAATAATCCGGTTGGCAAATTTTACGGTTCGAGTCATCGGGTACACGGTTACCCTGGTTATAGCTTGGATCTCTAATTATAGCAACCTTTATTATCTTGTGTACCTTTCCTGTTAGCATTTCTTTAGCGATTATGTACTGGATTTGTATATTTTAAATTTATTTATATTGTGTATTTTAAATTTTATTTATATTATGTATTTTAAATTTATTTTCTCTAAGCTCTTTTTCTAAATGTTCTATCTACTCTGATGTATTTGAAAAAAAATTTTTAACAAAAAAAAGATGCCGGATTCATTAAAGAAATTTACTGACAAGACCCAAGAAAATATCGTCCAATGGTTTAAACTGTAAAAGCGAATTGCAGTGTCTCTGAGATAGATAAAATAGATGATTATTATATTGATCCAATGTTATTAATCATTGAGTGGAACGATAATGGACTCAGACAACGAAATATTAATAAAAATAACATAATTAATAATATATCCAAAAATAACTAATAATGCTTTGTTACATTTTTTAATTATATTTTTTGATTAGTTATTCGAAGCTTTCCTGGTGTTCGATCGATTTCAGATATTCGCACGATTGGTGGACGATTTATCCATCTGAATCAATTTTTTGTGTTTTTGATGTTCTCCCTGCAGAGAATCAACAGATAATTGAAGATCTCATTGATCATCTTAGGCAAACTTATTACCAAGCGAATCAAACTGAACGTTTGATACAGTATTAAGGCTACAGTAAAAGGTAAATTTGAGATAAAGGAATACCTTCGAATATTTTAGTCTTTTAACCATTAATATATAGTTAGAAATATGGGGTTGTTACAATAAGATTTTTGCTATTATAAATAAAGTCTGTGGCCGGTCAAAGATAAGGAAATTCAGATTTATGTATTACGTATATAAGTTATTCGAAATAAAACATGAACATTGAAGTTTATAAATTTTTTATTATTGTTTTTTTTTTTTTTATTTAACGTTAATTATTCGAGATTCTCTTAGAAAATAATCACATTCACATCGCCTATATGTTCCATCTGCTACTTTTTTGCATATAGGTGTGAATGATGTTACATCTCTTTTTTTTTTCACAAGTTCGAAAAAAGATATATATATATATTGTTAACTACAATTGTCTGGCTTCGAGTGATGAAGTCACGAGAAGGCGGCATATATGTTATTATCATTATATATTAACAGAAAAAATAATATTTACGTAGCTAAATTATTGGGTTAAAAATCAGATAAGTCTAGGGTTGTAATTTTCTGAATCAAATTTTTATTTTATTTTATTTTATTTTATGTACTAAAAAAAAAATTATACGTACATATAAATTTAATGTACTGTAATAACTTTGTGTTATCTACTGGCATTGTCAGACACACGATAACACACGATAACACGCAACCCTACACGATCCCCAAATTAGGGATTGATGATCAGCCTCATAGTAGGACATTCGTATGATTGGCTGATGTAAATCAATTGCTCGGGTAACTTATTTATGTATTTGTAATAACTTTGCGTTACCTACTGGCATTGTTAGAATCAAAATCCAAAATCGGTAAAACACACTATAACACGCAACCCCACACGATCCCCAAATTATCTCAATCATACATATTAGGTTTATCCTCATAGTACATTCGTATGATTAGCTGATGTAAATCAATTGCTCGGATAACTTATTTATGCATTTTAAAGTACTTTTT